AAACGTAGACTCTACACTAACTCGCCCATTCTCATTTACATAACTTTTAACCCTATGGAGTTCTCATTTCCATCTTACGGGAGTTTTTCATGTCTATATTCCTCATCATCATTGAATATCCAAATGTAATTACGCGACGACAATTACAAAGGATCCATTCTAATTTGGGAATTAATAGGTACGTCGTCGTCTCGTCATGTAACTAAATCGACAGTAAACGTACAATGGGTGAACATCTATATGTACGCTTCATCTCCGTCCTACGTCTTTTCTTTTTGTTTCTCTCTCGATGTCGTCTCGTCCGCTGGGGCCCTTCCGTCCGAGAGACGAGAGTACCCATTGTGTCGCGGACTCGCGATGGGTCTCGTTACTTCTACTCCTACGTCTACAGCCGGACTACTCGGGCAATGGTATTAGTAGGTACTACCTTCTACCTTCTTCGGTTCCAGTCTCAGGTTATGGTCTCAGTACAAATTGCCCTGTTTGACAGGCAGCGATCTCCGGAAAGTACGAGCTCTAAAGCTATTGCTACTATTGGGATTAAACTTCATCATTTATGTATTATAATTATTATTGTAGTTGAACTATTTATTAGATTATATGTCAAAATAACTCTCCGGTGTTAAATAACAAGTTTGGTGATTCCACGAAACCACTATGATTAGGGCTGTAGCGTCGATGAACGTTTACTGTTTGTGTCTGTGACACCATCCCACAACTAAAACCGGATGCTTCTTGGCAATCTCAGACCCACTCCAGAATTACGGAACAGTACCGACACCGGTAACGGGAATGGGTTTATGTAAACTTTAGTTTGTAGTATAAAGTATAACAGGAAACATAAGGATCGTCGATCTTTCGTCGCGAGTCCCGTGCGTCCCGCGGGGCGACGACAAGGACGTATCAGGTAGATACTCGGGTCGCCTTCTTAGTCCCTGCTGCTTGGACGCGACTCTTCCTATCAGAGACTCTATCTGTCCGCTCTACTTCCGTCTTATCACGTCTCAGCGGCTCCCGTCGCGTACAAGTCGTTGCACGAGAGACACACTGGGTGTTTTTACTCCACCTTCTACCGTTCCTCTGAGGGAGTATTCTACTTCTGCTCCGGTTCTTGCGGTTGACAAGCACTTGTTCTATTTTTGTTAACGTTCCTATCGGTATTACTTATAGTTGTCTAGGAAGTATCATCTTCAGGAAATTCTTATGTCACGTTCTGTCGATTGTAAAGCGTGTACACGACGTCACATCGGGAAACAGTGTCTATACCGATGAGTTTTTATGTCTTTCCTCCAGGAGAGGTTTGTTACCAAGAGACCCTTTACGCACCGAGCGCGCGGAGGAGTGGATGACGACTACAGTACGGACCAAAATCAAACAGCGGAAACAAGTGAGACTCCTTTTGCCATGTTTTAATCTGTCGTACCTGCTGACTACCGCATTCCTCCACCTTGGACTGAAAGAACTTTTTAGTTCGTTGGAAGTACGCTGCGTGTCTCCTACGTGGTACGTGTCGTACCAAATAACCTGTTGGATTACTCCACTACAATTATTTGAAAACTTTAGTTACTAGTTACTTTGTAGATTTAGATTAAGATTATTACAAAACATATATTTCATCACTTCAGCCCTATATACAGCCATTTGAAAATAGCAGATCTACAAGCTCATAATGACGCATTGTGAGCTTGTAGATCTGCTATTTTCAAAAGTGCACAACGAGACTAAATGGATGGATGCAAGAAAAGAAGTGAAGTTATAGATTAGTTTGGCATCTGATTTAGGGGATTAAACAATACACAAGTTTGTTGTATTTGTTACCTGGTGCTTACTTACTTGGTCGTCACTAGGGCACTTTTAATCGTGTTGCTGTGTGCTGCTGCACCACACACCCGCCGTTGACTGTCTGAATGAGGGCTAATTCAGAGGCTCAGGGTTAGTCTTGTGTTTTTTTGTGCTAAAAATGGTTCATATCATCATTTAGCTGAGTTTCTTCCAGTTACATGATATGAAAAATTCATGACATGTGCTCATTGGTGGTTTTTACCCCGTGCTGCTGATGAATCTCTCCAATTGGCTCGGCAAAAGTTTTTTGTTGTTTTGTGTCAGTTTTACGTCGCCACTTCCATTCATATTTGTCATCATTGGTCCACAATGTTTATCATCATGAAATTAATATCTATATATTTTATACTATACTTGCACTACTTACCGTTTTTATACTTTATANGCGCTCATTGGTGGTTTTTACCCCTTGCTGCTGATGAAACTCTCCAATTGGCTCGGCAAAAGTTTTGTTGTTGTTTTGTGTCAGTTTTACGTCGCCACTTCCATTCACTTTTTTCATCATTGTTCCACAATGTTTATCATCATGAAATTAATATCTATATATGTTATACTATACTTGCACTACTTACCGTTTTTATACTTTATACATCTTAGCATATTCATACACACTGTTCATACTGCTCACAGGCTGCTGTGTATATCTAGTGTATTCATACCCCTCACTGTTTATTCATCATTCAATTCATTCTATATTTTATTCTGTAGATTGTGTACATTACTTTTCACTTTACTGCTTGTTGCACTCCTGGTTGGAAGCTAAACTGCATTTCGTTGTCTCAGTACCTGTAATATGTGCAATAACAATAAAGTTGAATCTAATCTTGAGCAGGAACAAATGTATTTACTTAGTACATATCTGACATTAACGATTATGTGTGCATTCTTTATAAATGCAAACCGAGTCAAGCCGACTCCGGAGGTGG